ATCCTGCAACGGTTGAACAATTTAGTCACTTGCCTGAACAACAAATTAATGATCAACCACTCCATGATGAAGTTAACAATGAACCCACAAATGATATTCCTACATAAGTAGCATTAAGAAGATCTCAAAGACAAAGGAGACCTGCTATATCTGATGATTATGTGGTTTATCTTCAAGAATCAGATTTTGACATTGGTATTGATGAAGATCCAGTTTCATTTTCACATGCTATAAATAGTCCTAATTCTTCTAAATGGGTCGAAGCCATGAAAGATGAGTTAAAATCAATGGAACATAATGAAGTATGGGATCTTGTTGAATTGCCTAAAGGTTGTAAGCCAGTTGGCTGTAAATGGGTTTTTAAGACCAAACACGACTCAAATGGGAATGTCGAATGATACAAGGCCAGACTTGTTGCCAAATGTTTTACTCAAAAGGGTGGTATTGATTTTAATGAAACATTTTCACCTGTTTCGAAGAAAGATTCATTTAGAATAATTATGGCATTAGTAGCTCATTATGACTTAGAGCTACAACAGATGGATGTGAAAACCGCCTTTCTGAATGGAAATTTGGAAGAAGAAATTTACATGAACCAACCTGAGGGTTTTTCAATTGAAGGAAAGGAACACAAGGTGTGTAAACTTAACAGATCGATATATGGACTTAGACAAGCTTCCCGACAATGGTATCTTAAGTTTAATGATACTGTAACGACCTTTGGATTTAAGGAAAACACCGTTAATCAGTGTATATATCTGAAGGTCAGTGGGAGCAAGTTTATATTTTTGATTCTGTATGTCGATGACATTTTGCTTGCTACTAATGATCTTGGTTTAATGCATGAGGCCAAGCAATTTCTTTCTAAGCACTTTGAAATGAAAGATATGGGTGATGCATCCCTTGTGATTGGAATTGAAATATTTCGTAATAGATCACAAGGAGTGTTAGGATTGTCTCAGAGAACATATATTAACAAAGTCTTAGAAAGATTTAGAATGGAAAAATGCTCTACATCAGTTGCTCCAATTCAGAAGGGAGATAGGGTTCAGCCTTATGCAATGCCCTAAGAATGAATTGGAGCGTAAAGAAATGGAAAATATTCCTTATGCATCTGTCGTTGGGAGTTTGATGTATGCTCAAACATGTACCCGACCAGACATTAGCTTTGCTGTTGGGATGCTTGGTCGTTATCAAAGTAATCCTGGTATGGATCACTGGAAGGCTGCAAAGAAGGTATTAAGGTACTTGCAAGGTACAAAGGAGTACATGCTCAGTTATAAGCGATCTGATCACCTTGAGGTGATAGGATACACAGATTCAGATTTTGCCGGGTGTTTGGACACGAGGAAGTCCACATTTGGTTATCTATTCCTTTTAGCCGAGGGGGCTATTTCTTGGAAAAGTGCGAAGCAGACTGTCATTGCTGCATCCACTATGGAAGCTGAGTTTGTGGCATGTTTTATGGCCACAAATCATGGATTATGGCTGCGAAATTTTATTTTGGGACTTGGAATTGTCGACAGTATTGCCAAGCCGCTGAAAATTTATTGTGATAATGCCGCAACAGTCTTCTTTTCTAAAAACGACAAGTATACTAGTGGTGCTAAACATATTGATCTAAAGTATCTTGCCGTTAAAGAAGATGTTCGGGAACGAAGGGTATCAATTGAACACATAAGCACTAGATTAATGATTGCAGACCCATTAACTAAAGCATTGCCACCGAAGGCATTTCGTGAGCATGTTGAAAGAATGGGCGTTATTGGAAACTGTTAACATTATGTTAAGGTTGTGTTTTGAAATATTTGATACTTAGAGCTCAATATAGTTTCGTTTCTGTATTAAAGTATCCTGTTTAGTTTATGAAGTATATATACATGAATGTTTTATTATGTTATAAACAGGATTTGTCTTTGATAAAGACATTATCGTGGACCATTATGAAAAAGTTCATTATGAATCATATTGAGTTTGAAATTAATATTGTGATACATGGAAGGGACTGCGTTAAATTAGTGACGTATTACCGCCATGATTCTTATTAATTTCTAACTTAACGATGACTTATGTTCTGACCAATATAACGAAGGAATTAACTTATACTATGCATATTATGTTTCAAGTTCATTATTAAATTTATGACTTATGAGCCAAGTGGGAGAATGTTAGAATAATAATAATAATTATTATTATTCTATGGTTCATTATAATTTATTGTGGCTCATAATTAAATATTTATTTATAATTTAATAATGAAGATAATCTTGTGATTGGCCAGTTAAGAAGATAAGATTGCAGTTTCAATTGCATATCATCAGGTTTACGTTGATGGAACGTATTATTATTTATATTTCATATATGAGACTCTGGTCCTCTCCCCAACCTCTCTAAGAACTAAAACTCTCCCCATCAGAGAATTAGATTAAGTGAATGTTAAAGGTCTGGAGGGAGAAACCAAGTTTCTAACTCAAGCAACTACGGGAAAACAATGGAGCCAGATATGTTCCCAGAAAGCTATTTTACTGTATGTGAAAAACATGTGTTCTGAAGATCTTGTATTAAGTAGGAATGACTTACACTCCATGCTCCAGTTTATGGAGGGTATTAGACTCCAAAAATCATGCAGCAATTCATTCCTAAATATTAGACTCCAAAAATCATGCATCAATTCATTCCTAAATTCTAGCATTATAGAATAAAGGACTTTTATGTTCTTTCCTTATCCTAGGAAGTTACAATACTTTTATCTTTATTATATATATGTTGAGGTTACTGGTAATCTTTGTAACAAAAGTATATAACAATAAAACTATTCTTTTCCTTCTTTTCTCTTTCTTGGTTCTGCATGTGAAGCTTCCGATAGAACTATTGCCGGAGGACTGATTGCGGGCATGTGCTCCGCCACATTGCCGATTGATTGCGGGCATGTGCTCCGCCACATTGCCGTTGTCCTACGACATAGGGATGCCTTCGCAGGGGAAGATCTCTCCAAGCCCTGACTTGATTCCATGGCCACTCGCTCAGGCACGCCTCTGCTGCTGCCATCGGCACTATTGCCGTAGGGACTCATCATTGCTATGGACGCAGCTACGCTGCTAAAACTCTCGATGCTTCTCTATTCTCATCGCACTTACGATGGAGAAGACGGAAGAACTCTCCAAGCTTTGGACGCTGGAAACTATGGCAACTTCGACAACGCCATGGATACGGTGAATTCCACGGGAATTCTTTCACAGATTTAAGACTTGATTACGCCCCATTTGACCATCTCTCCGATATGACAAAACAAGGTGCTTTCTACCCTTCTTTTTCTACGTGTCTGTTGGAGTTTTATTTTTCCTGCGTGTGTCAGTGTATATATAACGTATATTTTGTTTGCTTTGCCATGTTGCAAGTTGTGGGTGCAAAATGCATATGGCTGCCAACTACGTTTAATGCTTCACGCGGTTTAATGTGTTTCCTCTACTTTGCGTGTCCTTTGATTTGCTTTTAATGATGCTCCACTGTTTGTCAGTTTGTGTGCCTCCATATATATTCATATAATATACCTATATGCCTTGCATGGATTATGTACATATATCTCACACACTTTATTTCTCTTGTGCACATATATACGTATATAATATATATGCACATGCATAATGTATGTTTGCTGTGAATATACCATATATAATATATATTTGCTTTTCACTTTGCCCTTATTTTTCGTGTAGCAGTGTATATGTATACATAATATATATATGTTGCCCATGTGTATATATATATATTACTCCACTAGTCCATGCGACTGTATATATATGTATACAATATATATATATGTTTGGCATTTTCACTTTGCGTATCATATATATACATATGTACGCACATAATATACGCTTAGTGACGTTGGTGCGCATATGTACATCATCCATGTTTGCTTTCCATATTTTTGTCTGTATCACGTACCTAACATATATAATATATATACACATGCACAATTAATGTTTGCTTGTGTACATATATATATAATATGCATCAAAGGAGTCTTGAAAAGATATGAGGCAGTTTCGACTCGTGCCAGGAGTCTTACAAGATGAGGCAGTTTCGACTTGTGCTAGAGAGTATCCTGTAGCTTTTTTCCTTTAAAATTGTAGCTTCTTTCCTTTAAAATTTCATGAAGGGTTTGCCCCTATGGCTGTGATTATGACACTTCTATCGCTTCTGAGGCGAATTTAGTCCCAAATGCCAACGTAGAAGTCTCTCTCATTTAAGGGTTGACTCTGTTGACTCCAAAAGATGGGGAGAGCTTGAATGAGGCCAAGAGAAGCTTAGAGGCATGTAAAGATGACATTCTTACCTTTAAGCTTTTCATCGACTGATGTTATTTTTCCTTTAGTCATTTTTCTTTTTGGTTGCAAGACTGTTGCTGTTTCGTTCCTTAGCTCTTGATAATTGAGTGCTTCTCATTGTCTTTTAGCAATAACTTGTACATCTTTGCTTTGACCCATTGAATGATTGTCTTGATAAACCACTCTTGCAACATAAATTGTACTTGTTTCTGTTATGACTGAACTTATATAATTTGATTCTAAGCTGCCTACGTACTCCTATCAAGGAGATCAAGTCAAACGTAGTTCAAATGATTTTTTTTTTACAAAGTAGAGCCGTTCACAGTTTAGACCCATGCGGGCCAGGAGCGTCTATGATTTGGGCCCACCCATAGACAAAGCGAGATGCATTAAAAGTTTAACCACGTGCTGCATTTTTGGTGGATCAGTCATTCATCACATCTTCATGACTTGTGTTGAAACCCCAAGTTTAAGGGTGGTAAAGCTTTAGGAACCTTCCATTAATCGGACCGATCTTCAAACCATCTTCACTAATCAGCTTATAAGCTCCACCGATGTAAACTTCTAGAATCACGTAGGGACCATCCCACCTTGAAGTGAACTTGTGGCGGGTTTTTTTTTTTTTTTTTTTTTTTTTTTTTTTTTTTTTTTTTTTTTACAATGATGGGCCTATGAAAAGCTAGGACTTACCCTTTTGTTAAAAGCTCTTGACATGCGAGCTTGATAGCACTCCAAGCTTTGTTGCGCTTGCAGACGTTTTTCATCCAAGGCTTCTAACTCAGCCGGGCGTAACTTAGCATTTTCTTCATCAGTAAGGCCCTCCTGTATAGCTAACCTTAAGGAAGGTATTTGGCGCTCTAGAGGCAGGACCGCTTCTACACCAGACACCAAAGAGTATGGAGTGCTTTGAGTAGGTGTGCGGTATGTTGTTCTATACGCCCACAAGGCTTCTTCCATTCTGTCATGCCAGTCCCTTTTCGATTTTGAGACCACTTTCTTCAACAAATTGTATAGGGTCTTGTTAAAAGCTTCAGCAAGGCCATTAGCAGCTGCATAGTAAGCTGATGAGTTTCGCTGCTTAAAGTCAAAAAACTTGCAGATCTTGTCCATCAACTTGTTGTCAAAGGGCTTCCCGTTATCTGTTAAGATATATCGCGGGATACCAAATCGATAGACAATGTGGACACGAAGAAAGTCTGCAACATTTTCTTTCTTCACCTCCTTCAATGCCACAGCTTCCGCCCACTTTGAAAAGTAGTCGGTGGAAGCTAATATGTATGCATGCCCTGCAGATGACTTAGGTGTAATTGGGCCAACCACATCAAGTCCCCAAGCATCAAATGGCCAAGATGCAACTGTTGAGTGTAGAGGTTCTGGTGGTTGATGGATAAAGTTTGCATGATATTGACAAGCTTGACACCTTCGAGCGTAGTCTATGCAATCCTTTACCATTGTAGGCCAATAATAGCCCATTCGCTTAATATGGAAATGTAACTTGGGACCGGATTGATGTGCACCGCAAACCCCAGAATGAGCTTCTTGCATAGCTTGTAAAACTTCCTCTTCCCCTAGACATCGGAGAAAGACTCCCTCGAATGAACGACGATACAACGTCTCTTTATAGTAGATGAAGCGAGGAACTCGACGCTTTATATCCACCCTCTTACACGGATCTTCGGGTAACTTTCCATCAGTGAGGTAGTCAACCAGTGGTTGCCTCCAGTCGTCTTTGCCTATATCATAAACTGAGGCAGTAGGGAGTTCAACAATTTCATCAACTGAGCCATCTTCATTGAAGATTGGCGGAACTACCCACCTTTGACATACTTGTACTCGGGCTGCAGGATGAGCAATAGTTGAAGCCAATGCGACTAAGGCGTCAGCATGCTTGTTTTCTTTCCTCGGTACGTGTTCAATTGTGACGTCCCCTAACCATTGCATGAGTATCTTTGCATAGTTGTTATATGGGACTAACTTCGCCTTTTTCACTTCATATAGACCCAACACTTGGTTTATGATCAACTTTGAATCTCCATAAATGTTAATTCTCAGTTGCTTCATGTCAGCCGCTATTTCGAGCCCAAGTATCAATGCTTGGTACTCAGCAACGTTGTTTGAACATTTCTCGGTCAAGGTGAATGAATATGGCAACACCTCGCCTTCTGGAGTGACGAAGACAACTCCAGCACCTGCCCCTTCTCTATGCGAAGCTCCATCAAAGTACATTTTCCATGGGGGTGGGACTTCACTAACAAGCACATCTTCATCAGGCAGCTCCCATTCAGCAGTTATTGGGTGATCTTCTAGGAAATCGGCTAAGGCTTGCCCCTTGACAGACTTCTGCGGCACATAGATGATTTCAAATTGTTGAAACAATAAGTACCACCTTGCAAGGCGGTTGGAGAGCACGACCTTCACCATAACATACTTCACCGGGTTCGCTTTGGAAACAAGCCGGATGGTATGAGCCTCAAAGTAGTGCTTAAGTTTTTTGATGGCGAATACCAGTGCCAAACATAGCTTTTCAATTGGGGAGTACTTTAACTCGTCCGGGGTCATCATTCTACTAAGATAGTAGAGGGCATTCTCTTTCCCCTTGTCGTTTTCCTGAGCAAGCAAGGCGCCCACAGAACTATCTTGGGCGGAGATATAGAGGATTAGTGGGCGGCCATGAATAAGAGCGGTTAGCACAGGTGGCTTCATCAAGTATGACTTGATACTCTGGAATGCGTTCTTGCATGCCTCATCCCATATGAACGGAATACCCTTACTGACTAAACGGTTGACATCTTCCTGCTAGGTTTGATATGAACCTTCGGATGTAAGCCAACTTCCCTTGTAAGCTTTTAAGCTCATGAAGGTTTCTTGGCTCAAGCATCTTCATTATGGCGTCGATTTTGGCTTACTCGATCTCGATGCCCCTGTGTCGAACAGTAAACCCGAGGAACTTTCTAGCAGCAACCCCGAAGGCACATTTAAAGGGGTTCATTTTGAGTTGAAACTTCCGTAGGCGGTCGAAGACTTGCCTTAAATGCACCAAGTGATTTGTGCGCAGTTTCAACTTCACAACCAGGTCATCTACATAGCATTCGACCATTTTATGAAGCATATCATCAAATATTGTCTGCATAGCCCTTTGGTATGTAGCACCTGCATTTTTCAAACCAAAGGGCATTACTTTGTAGCAGTTGATACCTTTTGGCGTTCGAAATGCTGTTAGGTCTTCATCTTCTGGCGCCATGCGAATTTGATTGTAACCGGAGGAGCCATCCATAAATGACAGGATCTCATGCCCAGTCATGGCATCTATCATTAACTCCGTGATAGGAAGCGGGAACTCATCTTTCGGGCATGCAACATTGAGATCCCGAAAATCAACGCACACGCGGATCTGGCCATTCTTCTTGCGCATAGGTACAATGCTGGATATCTAGGTTGGATATTTAACTTCACGAATGAAGCCAGCCTCTATAATCTTATTGACTTCTGTTTCAATCGAGGGAATGAGCTCAGGGTGGAAGCGTCGTTGAGCTTGCTTAATCGGACGGCACCCCTTTTTCACTACTAAGCGGTGCACCGCTACTTTTGGGTCTAACCCTGACATCTCTTTGTATGTCCATGCAAAGACATCAATATATTCTTTTCGCAATGTGACATAGATTTCTTCATCTTCATCAGAAAGGAGTGCGCTAATGAAGATAGGACGGGAATTTTCAGGAGTTCCCAGATGAACTTCTTTTAATTCATCTACTACGGCTTGTACCCCTTCTTCTAACTCATAGGGTGCCTCTTCTGCATCTTCTCCCTCAATAGGAGTCTCATCACATAAAGTGATAAGGAACGACGATGCCACCTCTCCCTGAGTAGTTGGTGGTACATCATCACTTGAGCCTATGCTTTCCTCATTTTCTTCTTTATGTACACGAGTGTGTACAATGGTCTTCGGTTGGACTTTCATGACTTCACCACATGAAACATGAATATATGTTTCTCGTCTCATACGAGAAGGAATCATGCTTCTAAGCCTTTTGGAAGGTTCCACTTCAGCAGGAAGATTGGCATTGTCTTTCATAACTTGGATAACTCCGAGTCGATCATGTATTGGCTTTCTCTTTGGGGCTTTAGGACTTGACCCTAGTCTATCAAAGACTAAGCGTCGAGAGTCCGCCTTACCCATTCAGTCGAAAACTGACTTCTTTTTGTCTTGCCCATTATCATTGGCAGGAGTGAGTTTTGGATCGTACTCACTTCCATCCACGGAGATACAATTACTTGCAGCCCTGTTTATAAGAATATGCACTGGATTAGGGGGGACATAACCCAACCTTTTGCGCGCTTGAAGTTTTTGGTGATTGGTTTTGCCTTTACCATCGGCTCCTGGGATAAGCTTTCCCAACCTCTGTGGCTTGTTGGGATTATAGCCAGCTTTGGCTAGAAGCTTATAAGCGTTAGGGTCAAATCCCTCAGTACGCTTGGTGGGGAATACTTGGCCCGCTTCATCACTACCTTTCTCTTCGGAAGATTTTGCTGCATTTGCTTTGAGTGTATCAATCCTTACAAGTGGGAAGATGAGGTTGTGTTGTGTTGATCTCCCTCTACAACTTGTTTTCCCTTTGACTTTGGTTGGGAATATCGGTCGTCCTTGATTTCCTCGACATCTTCAACAATAACTTACCTTTTCATGTAGAACTTTGCGTCTGCAAAGTAAAACTCAACCTCGGTGAAAGGACTTTCATCGGCGACTACCTTTTCAACTACGCCGTTCTTTTCAAACATGAGGCATCGATGCCAAGACGAGGGTGCCACCCTATTTTCATGTATCCACGGCCTTCTGAGTAACAAGTTATAAGATGTCCTCGCATCTATGACATGGCAAAGGACACCTGAACACAAGCTTCCAATTCTTAAGTCAAGTCTGATGATACTGATAGCTCTTTGCCCTCCTTTGTTGAAGCCTTGTATCATTAGACGACTTTGGGCAAGCTCATCTGTAGATACACCAAGGTCCTTCATAGCTCCAAGGGATAGGATGTTGACAGCTGAGCCTTGATCAACCATAATTCTTTTGAGCTTTTGCCTACAGGTATAACCTTCAACAAATAGTGGGCGATTGTGTGGCGTGCCTCCAAGTAACAAGTCTTCATCCTTGAAGGTAATTTCTGTGGAGTAGGAAATAGCCTTATGCATTAGCACTTCCTCATCCTCGCTGTGTTTGGAAGACGAACATTCCCCTCCATCTTCTGGCTTGTCATTTGTATTTAGGTAGGAGCTAGCAGTGTCTACCCCTTGAAGATTAAATCCTTTTAGCATATATTGAGCCAAAGGAACTGGTGCTCGTGGTTGCTTGACATGCCCCTTCGTCTTTGGTCTGCGGGCATGGACACTTGTTGAGGTTTTCTCAACCTAATTTCTCGCTGTGTGCTTAGGATGTCTCCCAAGCTCAACTTTCTTCTTTCTATGAGTGATAATCACCCATTTTCCTTCAGATGTGTTATCATACTGCCGTGGTTCTGAACTTTGACCAGCAGCATGCTTAACAATGAAGGGGAGTGGACGTTTCCGTTGTTTCCCAACATCCTTTCCAGTACACAGCGGAGCGAACCGTCCGAGTGTAATCGAGATTTGATTCGAGCTCGCGTTAGCATCAGCAAGCTCAATTTTTCCATCCCTGGCCAGTGTCATAACTTTGTCTTTGAAGATAAAGTATTTCTCAATTGGGTGACCGAGAAGACGGTGGTACTTGTAGTAATTTTGGTCATCCACCCTTGTAGCTTCATCAGGACGTTTCATTTCCGACTACTCAATGAGTCTAAGTTTGAGTAGCTCATCAAACATGGGAGATACATTGGAATCCATGAAAGGATAAGTCTTCTCCTGCCTTTCTTCAATTGTCGGCTTTCTACCACCCCTTGACGGGCTAGAAAATGGTCGTAGCCTAGGTCTTTCAGTTGCTTTAGCGAAAACTGTCATTGGTGTGGCCTTCACATTCATCACTTCCTTCTTTTCTTGCTTTGGAAATGATTTGTTTACTTTTTTAACTTCTTGTTTTCCAGGAGCATTGGAGGAGCTAGGCAAGCTCAAAACGTTGAGCCCTCCACTAGCTTCGATGCTCAACTCCATGTCGAGAGCGCGACTGGATAACTCTTCAAAGTGCATGCCTTGAATGCACATCTGAATTGTAGAACTTTGGGATATTCTTTCTTTGCAATTCAAGCATAATTCCCTCCATCTTTCGATGTAGGCACCGGCGCGTTCACCCTTCCATTGGCGAGTAGCGGTGAGCTTCAAGAAGCTGACCGTTCTCCTTGTACTATAGAAGCGGGTTAAAAACTCACGTTCAATGTCATGCCAGCTATCAATGCAGCCGGGCTCGAGGTCGATTTACCAATCAAACGCAGTTCCCTTTAATGAACGGACAAACTGCTTTACTAACAGATCGCAATACGTCCCTGCATCGTTGCATGTTTCCTCAAAATGGGCAATGTGTTGTCGAGGGTTTCCCTTGCCATCGAATTGCTGGAACTTAGGGGGTTGATAGCCGTATGACATTTTCAACTCCTCAATTCTTTGTGTGTAGGGCTTAGCATAGGAATATGAGGGCTGGCCGTCGTCCAACTTGCCTTTGATAGCCCCCATTATGTAGTCTTTCAACTGATCCACCGGTATCATACCTTCAGTGACCGGTATAGATTTCTCAGTTGCAGGTAAGTGGGAAGCAGTTTCTCCTGCCGCATGGCTAACAGGAGGTGGTGGTGATTGTTGACCAACCTCTTCTTGCCCTTCGGGTTGCTTTCCTGGAGCACGACTTCCTTGTCCCTCCATGATGCTTCCTACCCTATCATCTAGGGTGTTAAGCCGTTTCTCTTGATTTTGGAGGGTGACAGTCATTCCTTCTAGAGACTTAGCGATTCTAGCTAATTGCTCCTCCACAGACTCTGTGTTTGTCGTCATGGCAGGCATGACATTGTAGACATGCGACCACTCAGGTGCAGCGTTCCATAATGGATGTGGCGGAGTTACGGGGGAAGTGCTCCCGCTACTGGCGTTCCCTTGCATGGAAGTTGGACTACCACCATCGGTAGCTCCCTTAGGAGAGGGCGTACTTCCAGCGTGAACAGTTGCATTTGATGCGATAGGGGCCTTGTCGAGCCACTAGTACATAAAACATCAATAAAATTGACTAATTCGCGTCCAAAGTTAGAACTTCGGACGCCTAAAGTGTAGTGCAGTGGCATTTTTGTAATTAAAATGCCAATATATAAATAATTTTTTTTATTTTTTTTATTTATTAAATATTATTCGCGTCCAAACTCTATACTTTGGACGCGAATAATAGAATCCCATTCATCACTTGCATCCAAAGTGGCCAACTTTGGACGCGAATTATTTTTTTAATCCATAAAACCCTAGAATAATAGAATCGCATATCGATCAGATCTCACGCATAAACCCTTCATCTGCTCCGATCTTCATTTGTTCCGATCAATCCGCCGTCCGCCGCTCTCCAACAGCCGTCCCCGCTGTCTATCAACCGTCCGCCGCTCGATCTCCATCCGCACCGTCGCTACTTCATCGTCCACCGCACTGCCGCTCTCCATCGCTCTGATCTTCATCCGCTCCCTGCCGCTGCCGCCCAAGCTCGCCGCGGCTGACGCCTCCGGTCTCCACGCTCGCCGCCGGCTGCCGCCCAAGCTCGCCGCCTA